AAAAACTTTCCAAGACAACAATCCTATGTTGATAATGTGCAGATACCACATTTACCATTTAGTGTGTCAGCATGTTAATATTTAGGTAAGGAACCAAGTTAAAGCTGAGGTTGAATAGAATGTCATACGTTCTGCAGGTATTTGGTCCAAAGTGTTGGACTAATTGAAATGTTAAGATATTTTAAGTGAAAAGTATGACTATGGGAAAAGTCAGAAGATCACCAAAGTTGGTGATACACAACCTCTGAGAACCATGAATGTCTGCACAAAATGTTCCAATGTTTCAGTCACAGATCGCAGTGGTGGACTGACTGAAAGTCAGACACATTTCAATCCCTACACCCACCCACTAGCAAACTTTAAGCATGAAAAGCATTTTGACCATAAATACAATTACAATTATTGACATTTAGATAGTGATATTGCCAACATCATGATCTCCAACATCAACTTTAAACTTGAGCCAATTCTTCACATCAGTGGTTGAACTGGATTTCCTCCTTTCTGAGCTTAGTCTTAAATCCACGGCCTTAAGCAGCATAGTGTTCTCAGTGCTTTTTAGTTATTTTTGTGTACTGTCTAAATGTGTGATCAAGTGAGAGAGCATAATCCAGGGCAGCAGGTCACACATGGTGTGCATGTGTATGAATGGGGTGTTGCTGGAGAGCATTTCAGAGACAGCTGGAACAAGGCAGACGTGTGTGTGTAAGAGATTGTGGCGACTGCACTACCAGCTTGTTTGAGATAATATTTATAAGAGGCCTCTTGATTTAGCGTAGGGGCAATGTATCATGGGTACAACCTACTGATCAGCCAATCAGCAGAGCTGTTTTTATACTTTGCACCCATTGCATGCAGTACAGTGTTTTCCACAAGAGCCAAGACACTGTAGCATCAATAAATAAATGATGTAAATATCTGCTTCTATCCACTTGCCAACATGTGGGAGCAATTTTACAAATCTGATTATACAGTTTAACTCTTGATCATGAGCCTGCGAAACACTATTAACAAAAAATGCCCATTTTTGTGCTGGTTACATGTTCGTGTCTGTGCATTTGCTCCCACACTCTGTCCACAGCTGAGGCACTAAAGCAAGAAATTGCTCTTAAGTAAAACTTAATTCATGGCATGCTAACATTACTTCGCACATACAGTTAATGCAAACTTTGTCAACCCTTCTGCATGGCACAGAGAGAGGGGCTATTATTGCTGAGCTCCACTGAATGAAGGCCCTGACCTGGGCTTACACCCATGGACTCTGCACAGGAGATAAGATTAGATCCAGGTACAAATACACATTTATACTCTATGCTTAAACAGTGGTACAAACACTTGATTGCACAATGTGAAAAGTGAGTTATGGCTCATTGAGGTGTGATTTTTACATGCACAGTGTGTAAATGAAATGTAAGTACACCCAGGCCTAGTGCAGGTTAACATGGTCGGATTGTAAAACTGTGTGTTTTGAACATCCTGTATGGTCTCTCTGATGTCAGGGGATAATAATCAATAGAAACCATGTTACCCATCACAACAGGAACAAAGCAAAGTCTCAGTGGTTCTAATGCAATAAGAGAGAAAAGATATAATATCTGTACATTATTGTGCATGCTTGTTCTGTACTTTTTGGGAGATAACGAACAGTGGTAAAGATAATCTGAAGCTTTATATACAACTGAGGCCCCTGTCACACCTCACAAATGTATCCTGAGCACAACAGATACCAGCCATAGTGAAGAAGGTGGCTGCACAAAAACATCATGCAAAAGAAATGCAGAGATTGTCTGTACATAAAAACGGAAATTTGCATTGCAGTGCTTGGCTGTGTCACCAGCTGAGAATAAAAAGTATACAGACATTCAGCCTGAGTTTTGATCCGAGCATGAAGAACTGTATGAATGTATGTGTGAATGTGTTAATGGAAGAAACTGTACTGTAAAGCGCTTTGAGTGATACAAAACATTTACCCTTCTCTCCTACTCCTTTATGTGCCTGAGCGGCTGTGGCTCAGGAAGTAGAGAGGGTCATACACTAGGTTAAGGGTTGACGGTGCACCTCCAGTCTGCATTCCACAAGTGTCCTTGGGCAAGATACTGAATCTAAAATTGACGGCTGTACTGACCGTGTGTTATAGAAAAATCTGGGTAACGAAGCATTCTAGGGATGTGTGTGTGTAAATGTGTGACTGCGACTTGTACTATAAAGCACTTCAAGTGGTCAATAAGCCTGGAAAAGCACTAAATAGATATAAATTCATACTGATGTATAAAACATTCTTACTTACCTCATTTTATTCTATTTCATTTTCCCAAACTTTAATTTCTAATCTCATATATGTATAGAGCCTATATTTGAATTGTCGCAGTGCTATAAATACACTTTCTCTATAGTTATACAAAAATTCCATACAAAGTTCTTAAGGCTGGTTCTTGCATGTGCCTGTTTGTACAAGGACCCAACCTGTTTTCTCTTGTCATGTCAAACATCAGTCAAAGGACTTCGAACTCTGCACCACAGGTCAATTTCCACCAGCTCTGCTTTTTCCACCCACTCTTTATCCAGACACAACCTTCTATTAATTCCACAATAAAACAATGGCTGTATTAATAATTAAATTAAAATACACGGAGCATTTCATTAGACTTTGACTCATTTTATTGCCCACCAGTGTTTTCCTGCACGTTTATCTTTAATTACATCATTTGCACATTCACCACCCCTCTGTGTTTTACTGTCTTTAACGCTGCCACACACACTCAACATTTATCATGTTTGTGTTTCAATGGGTGAGAGCTGACATGTCATTGGCTCGTAGCCTGACAACACCCACCCAACCATAGGGGTGTGACTGGGGGAGGAGAGGAGTGAACAGAAGAGGGAACATGGGGGGGGGGAGTCAGCACGGCCCTTATGAGTTAGGTCACATGTTGCTTTCACTGGAAATACTCTTGGAGGAACAGACTGTTGTCCTGTCTGTGTGTGAAGGTTGTGAAATATTTTGGGCAGCTGATAGTTAGAATGAAATTGAAAGAAAAGACAAAACACACCACCATGACCTCCTCCACCCATCTCAAACTGGGTCATACTGGAGTGATTGGGCTTCTTAAACAACTCAGTGACCCCCATTAGTTCAACAACACAACCACGCCAGGGTCACCTTGAAAAAGATTCACTTTGGAAAAATAATCCAACAGGATGAAAAATCTTTCCTAGAGCTGAGTTAATGAAGAGGAACTTTGATCGCAGGGAAGAACAGTTTCATAAGTGTTTGTTTTTTCCTTTTGGCCAAACTTGTGTTACTTTGCTTCACTAAGAAAAGACACAAAATCAGCTGTGATGAAACGATTACTGTTAACAAGCATCTTTTATTCCCTTTCAACAGAGCAGCGAGTTCACATTATTAAAAGCAAATGATCAGTAGAGATTCAAGGTTAAAGAATAGACTCAGGGTTATTAAAGATTAAATTGTAAAATCAACCCATAAACCTAACTCAGACCATTGGGCCTATTTAAATCTAGAAAGACTTGACGATTGCTTTTTGATCATATAAAAACAAATATACATCTGCTAATCTGTCTGATTAAGTTAACCTTTAACATCCAGAACCCTATCGTCCATTCATCTATTATCTAATACTTATCCTTTAAGGGTTGCAGCGGAGGCAAGGCCTAATCCCAACAGGAGGAAGGTTACACCCTGGACAGGTTCTATCGTCTAGTAAGACATATTTAATATCCTGGATTGAAATGTTATAATTAGGATCACGTCTCTGATCAGGTTAGATTATTGTAATAATAACCACATGGATGTAAACTTTACTTTAAACTTTACCTATGCAAATATTTAATTTTACTGCAGATTTTACCAGAAATTTGTTGGATTATATTGATTTTCACTTCTTTAAACCTTTGTTCTACTAATCAGTTCTAATCACTGATTTGCCTCTTAGCAAAACTGACTGGAGAAACATGGCCGCTATGTTTCACTGACAACAGTTCAACACTAGATGGAGCAAGTCCTTTTCTCTGCATGCTGTAGCCTGTCTGCATCAATGCGATGGTGAGATTAATCCAAAAATCCTTACACACAAACTATCATTAAAGCACATTTATGTAAGATAATAGAATTGACTGCATTATTTAATGCACATATATAATTTATGTTCCTATCAATGTAGTTAGATTATTAAACACAGGCACAGTTTAAGTTGGTTTAACTCTGTCGTTGTAAAGTATGTTAGTATATACATATATATAGAGTTGTTATGACTTCTTTTGTCATTCATCATTATCGTTGTAATGCATTTTAAATTTTCAGATTGCTTTTAATTTAGTTTCAAAGTTTGTGTTTGTGCTTACGTATGTGTGTTTGTGTGTGTGTGTGTTCGCGCGCGCGTGTGCGTGCGTGTGTGTGCGTGCATTCAGAGGCCAAAAGGTAAAAAGTTGAAACAGTTCCCACGAGAACTTTCCTCTTTAACGTCTAATCAGGAAGTTGTGGCTTTGACTTGTGTCTGCTTACATCTCACCATCAGCAAAATGCATATCCCTCTATAATACTATATCAGTGTGTGCTTGTCTGTGTCTCACAGTCAGATGTCACCCCAGTGTCAGGTGGCCCAGGAGGAAACCTCAAAGGAAGTATGGTCAGGCCCAGAGCGGTCAGTAAAAAGTCAAACTGCCTGTTTCGGCTCTCACTCCATGCACTTTAATCAAAGGCTGCACTTTTAACTTTAACTTTCTCTTTGTGAAAGACAGAAGCCCTGTCTCTGCAATGCCTATGCAAATCAGTTTGGCAGAAGTAAAAAAAACAGACAGCTTTTGGTAAATGTTATCCACAGCAATACTAAACTACAAACCACCTCGAATAAGTAATTTGTACCTCAGGTTTGGTTTAAGCGTCTTGTGGAAATCAACAGCTCAGATTGTGAAAGTTTTATATTCGATCAAAGTTAGCTTGATTGAAATCATTTCACAAAAGGAAGTAGAGGCGATTGTTGGCAGGATGACTTTTAATACATTTTCGGCTGAGATCTGTGGATAGTCTGGTCCAAAGAGAGCTGCAGGGACGGTTCCTCCACTCCACTGCAAGACACAAGAGAAATCACAATTCACATCTTACCCCTGACCTTAACCAGGACCTCAGAAATTATGTTTTGCCTCATCAGGACCGGACCCTTATCCCTATTAGGACACCAGTCCTGACATTATAAGTATTTACATTGGAGTAGGTCCTAAAGAGGAAACAAACTAGTGTACACACACTTACCTGAGGATGTAGGTAACACAGAGGATGCAGAGCGGCTGGTGTGAGCTGAGTCTGGACTTGGAGGCTGGGCCACTGGGGATGACAGCGCTGTGACTCTCCACCCACATGTAACCTCCACCTCTCACCAGCATCCTATACTGACCGCTGACTGACTGACTCTTCAAACACACTGCAGAGAGACAGAGATACAAGTCAAATCATATGTGCAATGTGTTTGTGTTTTTTTTCTGGTTTTTTTTAGCTTGTGTGCTTTACTCCTCACAGTTCAGATGATTCTTGGTCAAACAGTCTGTGTCCAGTGTGTGACAGATATCGTAAATGGAACGACCGAGCAGCTCGTCAGGACTGTAACCTAAAAGCAAAGTCACTCTGCACAAACACAAAAACACAAAGCTGTAACAAATATAAATCTATTCCACTAAATTTTCATAAACTAGTCTAATGATTCAATCTTAGTTTCTTTTACTTATCTAACAGCAGTCGTAGGTCTAATACTAAAAAATATGAAAGGTGAAAGAGAAACAAAGCAGCAGCCCTAGTTCTGAATGATGTGTGTTTGTTTGAATTACACTTTGTGCCAGGGTTAGGGTTAGGGTTAGTGATGTTTACAGTTTACTGAAATAAAATTCCACCTCAAAACTCATAAACATCAAATGGAAATATAATTTTTTACCCAGGATTCAGTCTGACATATGTGATATTTTTCCTCTTTTCTAGACTTGGAATACTCTATACCTCTTTGAAGCTTTTGTGAGTTTTATGAGGTTTTATATGGTTGTAATGTATATAAAACGTTTTCTTTCTCTGCAGCATCCTTACAGTAATAAGTTAATACTGTATGTAACTTGTAGTGATCAGTTATTAGTAATTCACAAGAACTGTGGCATATTTTTTCTCAGCTCCGGAGAGTCTGCTAAGGTTTGCATTAGCCTGTAAAACCAACAGAAACAATATCAGTGCAGCACAGATGCAAAATAAAATGTGACGAGCAGATTGTTTCTTCATAATTTCATTATGTGGGACATTGCAAAATGGAAACGCACCTCCTTCTCATTGCATAATATGTAAAACAAGTCATGCAGTGTTCCGATGCAACTTGACTCTCACTCTCACAAGAGCTCCTTCTTACTTTTAACATATTATTACACCAGTATTCGATGTAATGTATTGTGCAATAATTTAGTGCAAAGACTGCCCATTTAAATAAATACTAACATGCTTGTAAATAGTGTAGACGTGTCCATCTATAAAGATTTGTGTGAATCACCTCTGGTCACAGTACGTGAACCTCATGTCCATGCTGTGCTGGCTGGTGAAGGTGTTTGTGCTGAGGAGTGTGTGTGACAGGGGCAGAGGTTGGCAGGTGAGCAGAAGAGAGGACCCTGTGGAGGGACCTGAACACACCATCACTCGACCCTTACAGTTCAGAACCTATAAGAACCACACAGTTCTATTCAGGGATTAGATGATAAACACCATCAGATACGATTTGTTATAAGTCTCAGGAAGAGGGAAATAAAGCGAGAGCTTTTGGTTGCAGTTTCTCACCAACCTTCCATGTCGCTGATTTGAGGTTGGTGCTTCTTCCTCTGTGGGTCAGAGTGCTTTTTATCCTAAGGACAAAGGCCTCCGTGGAACCACACCAAAGTCCCTCTAAATAACAGGCAAATTTACAGAGGTATTACAATTTTATCACACACACACACACACACACACACACA